AAAAAAAAAAAAAATTTTGAAACATGGTCTCACTAAGTCACTATACTGCCCAGACTGGGCTCAAATTTGATCCTCCTGCCTCAGCGTTCCAGAGTGCTGGAATTAGAGGCATATACCACCACACCCAGCTTACTCATGAAATTTAGGCACAACTAGCTAAAATAAAAATAGCAATATATGATTACAAAGAGAACAAGTATCTATTCAGATCATTATGAAAAAAAGTATAAAACTTTTTTTCTTGGCGGAACCAGGGATTGAACTCATGCCCTTGTGCTTGCCAGGCAAGCACTTATTCTACTAAACCCAAATTTGGTATGCTTCCTAATTAGTGCCTCAGTGTCACTGATCCAAACAGCAGAGGCAAAAAGGCCACTTAAGGTGTAGGCTAAGTGACACGTACCACCGCCAGCTATAGTCGCCTTGATGAGAGAATCCAACTCTTCATCTCCGCGGATGGCGAGCTGCAAGTGACGTGGAGTGATACGCTTGACTTTGAGATCCTTCGATGCGTTCCCTGCCAGCTCCAGCACCTGTGGGTGTCCAGAAGACAAGAGAGACCAAACACTGGCTGGTGCCGAAGGCTTCAGGTGGGCTTCCAGTTAGAGCCTGATCGCGCTGGCATCCGTGCATGGCGCACACAGCACGTTCAGAGACACCGCGGAGACACGCTCTACTGCTGTAACGTTAGCTCCTGCAGCACTCGGGGCTTCATGCGACTACATTCATTCTGTGCAGTGGAGAGAGCAACCGGAGGAAAACCCCTCTGCTGCACAGAACGGCATTAACGTAAGAAAAAGGAATGTCATGCCTTAGCTGATTCCAAGTGTGCACATTTAGATAAGTCACATGTCTTAATATATCTATGTCAAAGTCTATTTGCTATCCATGTAGTTCTCTTCCTTTAATGGCTAGATTTTACTTCTTAATACTGGTAGCAAAATTTTTTAAAATGCAATTCAGCTTTCAATATTTGAGAGCCTAATATAGATCCATAGGCTACAAATTAAAAGCCTTTTATTCTACACAGAGAATTCAAATACAGGAATTTCAAAATCCCAGTAAACTACATGCTATATTTTAAAATCTCATTATATATTATTTACCTGGCTTTGCTGTACTTTTCATGGAAATATAAAAAATACACATGCAAAAATATCTGCATGGAGCATGTCCCTTAAGTGCAGTAGTGTGGACGTTGAGTGTCCTCAGAACCAACCGCTGGGCTCTGAAAAGCACCAGTCCCACTGCTCCTGGGATTCCGGCTGGGACAGAGTCCAAGCCATCCCCAGAAGGTCCTGGTGCAATGCCAGACTGAAAGTGATCATCCCTGACCTAAGCCCTTTGCCTAGACTTCAGCACTCTGCCTCTACTGAACAACCACAACTCCACATTTCAATACGTGGGATATACTGGTTACCTTAAAATATATTGGTTCAAGGGCTGGGGAGATAGCTCAGTGGCATGAGTGCCTACCACAACAAAAAAACAAAAACAAACAAACAAAAAAAAACCTGGCTCAAAATATCTTGTTCTGGGGCCAGCCAAATAGCTCAGCGGACCAAGGCGCCTGCTTCGGCAGAGCGCAGCAGCCGGGGCTTGCTCCCTGGTGTGCTGTCCAGTCCCGCCCCTGGGGTGTGCTGAGATGATGATCGGGACTGGGTGTGATGGCGCATGCCTGTAATCCCAGCACTTGGGAAGCTGAAAACAGGAGAATCGCTCTGAGTCCAATCTACGCAGTGAGACCCTGTACCAAATATATAAAATCTTGTTCTGGGCGACTGCTGCTCCCTTTTGCCTTTGCTCTTTGCTATTCCCTGCCTCCATGAACGGCTGCCCTCTGCCATGTGCCTCTCTGCCTTGCAGCCAGCTGAGTATGGACTTAAACCTCTACAAACTGTGAGATAAACAAACCTTTTTTTCCTTTAAAAAAAAAAATCTTGTTCTGTTTTGGTATGGGGATCAAACCAGGGCCTCTCAATGCTAGGCACATTCTCCACCACTATGCTCCATCCCCTGCCTGTCCAGTCTTAACCTTAAAACATCTGTTTGGTATTAAATCTTTCCATCTTCACAAAGTCTCCTCCCTGGTTCTCATCATCTTTTGTTTTGCTCTTTATATATTTTTGGTTCCTCATATAAGTGAAACCATGTGATACTAAACCTTCTGCATCTACTTGGCATTGTGTCTCGAAGTACATCTACTCCGCTACAAATGACTCAAATGGGGGCTGGTGAGATGGCTCAGTGGTCTAAAGCACCTATTTAGAACAAGCTTAGCAAAGCACAGGGACCACGGTTCAA